TGCATTCATCAAGTTCAATCTGCAGGTGAGCTTTTCTGGCCTGGGAGCTGGTTGCTGGGCTCCACTAGCAAAAAGCATGCTCTCAGCAGCTGTCCAAGCATGGGTTTTTTTTTACCCGTTCTGCTTGGGCTCCAGTAGCCTGCCTGTTGTGCCCTCACCAGGTCTTCTCCCATGTGGGACCAATGACTTGCATGCGGCTAAGTGGGGAAACTGACCCAAGGCATCTTAACGTCACTCACCCCCTCTCATTGACTTGGCAGGGCTTTAGTTCTTGTACAAGCCAGGAAGACAAGTGGGTGATGAGGTGCCCAAGTTTCATTATTTGCCATCTTTCTGGTCTCTATGTATTCAAAGAGACTTTTGATGGGTGCAAGATGCTTCACCTGTTCAAAACTGTTCAGGGTCTCTGTCTATCATCTGCTGGTTCCCTACTCTCTTCCTCACTTGGTGAGAGAGGCACCAATCTGCTTCTCTACAATGACCGTCTTGAAATTTATGTCATTTCTTGGGATCTAGGGTGTCCAGTGTCCTTCCTACAAATCTTCTGGTAACTATAGGTCACAGGGAGACAGAAGCTGTAGCAGAGCCACCAAGACCTCCCAGAACCAAGGACACAGAGTGGTGGAGATGGGATCCAGCTCTGGCTGGTGCTAGAAACCCTGACTGGTTTTAAAACCAGTCATGGTAGAACTATAGTTCTTGCCAATAATTCATTCATATGCATGTGATGGGGCTCTAGCCAATGAATCAAAAGGGTTAATTTGCCATAAAACTCTCTTCTTGACCCGAAGACAGACCCATAGGAGGAAAGAGTTTCTTTCTTCTCTGGAAGTAACAGTAACTGAATAGGATGCCTAGATTTGCACAGTCATCTTGCAACCATGAGAGGAGGTAATAAGGATAATATGATGACATATTGTGTACATTGGGAGAGTAAGGGAAGAAAAGAACTGTCTTCATGTCTTTATTGAGCAGATGAATCACTATTTCTGGACTTACTGAAACTGTATATTTACTTATTACATTTTGATTTGAGTTTGCTAGTTGATACAGGAGGTCCAGATTGAGCAAATAAAAATGTAAGATGTACAGTTAAATTTGAATTTCAGTAGACATTGAATATCTTTTTAGTATATGTATGTTGAATGTGGTATCTGTCCCAGACAACATTTGGGACACGTTTATACCAAAAAATTATTTCTTGTTTACCTGAAACTCAAATCTAACAATGTGTATTATATTTTATCTGGCAACCCTAAGCTTGCAGCAGAGTATAGGCTGCTGCTTAATTTAGTAATAAAGGGATTTTCTCAGGTTTTATTGGGTATTATTCTTTCAGAATTAAAAGGTGAAAGTTGATTTACCAATAATAGTTTGAGTATACATATTTGAAATTCAGCTTAATATTCTCAAGAACTAATAAAAAAGGCTTAGTGTATTTTTCTTCTTGAAGTTTGTCAATAAATCCCCATTCAGAATTAAAATTTCATTGTAATTCAGATTAACAGTGGGGTGAGTCAGACTGACACTAGGTACACTCTCAGCTTCTTTTTTGACTATTGCTTGTATGACCCTGGAAATATAAACTATCTGAGTTTCAGTATCTCACTGAGTGATTATGCAGAATTAATAAGATACATTGTGAGAAGCACCTATTATGGCAAGCATGTATAACTTGCTCAAAACATATTAGATGTCTTTCCTGTATTAACTGTGACGAACTAGCTTCAGTGTACTTATAGGGGTCTTTTACAAAGAAGCAATAGAAACTCATTCATTTCACCAAACACCTAAGTTGCTCTTTCCATCTCCACAACTTGAGCAGAATGAGTGGAATAAGATGTGATCAAATAAGGTGCTCTTTGGAGTAAGGAATTGTATTATCTTATGGCATAGCTGGGTTTTACCCCTGACTCAAACTGATACATACGCTATTGCTTGTAAATGCTTATCTTATTTTTACTGATATTATTATTATCATATAAACAGAAAAGAATAGTTTTGTGTCTTATTGGAGGGGAAGGATTTGCCTCAGTATCTTCAGCATGATGAGACTTACTGAGCACACTTGGCCATAGAATTGGGATCCTGCCTCTTGGGTAATGAATAGACCATACAAGCTGCCTAATGTGTTATTTCACTTTCTTGTTTGTTTGTTTGTTTGTTTTGAGTTGGAGTGTCACTCTGTCGCCCACACTGGAGGGCAGTGGCACACTCCCAGCCACCGCAGCCTCAACCTGCTGGGCTCTGGCAATCCTTCCGCCTCAGCCTTCCAAGTAGCTGGTACTACAGGCACGCGCTACCACGCCTGGCTAATTTTTTGATTTATTGTAGAGATGAGGTCTTACCAAGTTGCCCAGGCGGGTCTCAAACCGCGGACTCAGGCAATCCACTCACTTCAGCCTCCCAAAGTGCGGGATTACAGGCTGAGCCACTGAGCCCGGCTCACTTTCAAACTTTCGTGTGCACACTGTGATTTTTATGCACACACAAAAAAGCAATTCTCACCAATAAAAAATTAAGCCTGCAGAATGACAGCTGTGAAGTCCAGTCTTAATGTACTTCTGTAATCCTGGGGAAGAAAAGAATTGGAGAGAAGGAACACCAGTTGTTCTTACATGGTTCAAGGGCTGTCATGTGAAGAAGTCTTGCTCATGCTATTACAAAGGGCAGAGCTAGGGTTGAGGGGTAGAACTTAAAGGAAAGTATGGTCCACTTTAAACAATCAAACCCGCCCAGTATACAATGCCTCAAATGTGGTGAGGTCTCCTCTACTGAAATGTTGATTCACAGTCTCGGATGACCAATTATTAGGAATATTAAGGCAGTAACTACAGCTCTGTTTTCTAGTTAACTTGTAAAATGGGGACATTAATCCCAATTTATCAACTCACAGGAGAGGGATTTGATCCAAGTAAATCTAATGAGACTCTTTTGCTAGTTTTTAGGCAGCTGTAAAGGCCTAGATTTAGTGGTTTTCAAACTTTGCTGCAGACTAGAATTACCTTGGGAGCTTTGAAAAACCTGTATGCCTAGGCCACACCTGCAGAAATTCTGATTTAAGTGGTATGGGGTATGCCAGAACATTAACCTTTTTTCAAAGCTATTTGCTTGACTCTCACAAATAGCAGTTTTGAGAATGGTTAAACTAATGTACTAGTTAGAGAATTAAGATTTTAGATTTTAGTTTGAACTAAAAGATGCGATGTTGAGCAATTCCTTTTACTTCTCTTGGTTCTGTATTCCTAATTTACTATGAAGAGGGGGACACACATACTTCTGAAGCACCTTCTTCTAAAATGTTATCATTCTATGGCAGCTGACCCTTAAAGGTTTACAAATTAAGGAAAGACACTTACTTTCTAGAAATAGAAATCTTTGCTCCAAGACATGGGAATTGTTGTACTCCTTTTCTGAGGTTTAATGGCAGTCATAGACTCCTCTCAGTGTGGGGATGTTTATATCTCACAGAAGAATGTGTGGTACCAGCTGCAGTTGGATGGTTTGTTGTTTCAGCAGTCCTCTGCTTAAAACAGGAGCACACCCTAATTTGAGCAGATACTGATAGAGGATGAAAAGTGAGTTTCTTTGCTCTTCTCCATGATTCTAGAAGCTGTTTTTACTATCATCTGATGGATGACTGGACATTATTGCTGGTGTTTTGTGTGCATAGCTATAATTCTTTTTGTTTTAAACAACTGTGAAGGACTTCCCATCATCTTATTTATTATATGTACTTAATTTTAAAGATGTGGGGTACAATTTATTATTTATATATACTTAATTTTAAAGATGTGGGGTACAGTTCAGGATTAGGTTTACAAGTGGTCATCATACAGGTAAAGTTTGGATCTCCCTTTGGTTCCCACTTTGCCTGGTTTGGGATCACGTACCCTTATTGATGCTGT